ATGTTCCCCCAATTAGAATTGTACTGTGGAAGACCGTCGTGATTGCGGGTGTCTTTTAATTCTGTAGTAAATGAAGACATTGCTGTGGATTGTTCGAAAACGGAAGCCGATGAATAATTAAACACCGGTCTCATAACCTGTTGGGTTATTGAGAAGGTGTAGTCACAAGAGTAAGACAATGCAGATGGTAATATGCGATATGTGAGGAATGTATAAATGTAGTATTAAGGTCGGGTAGTGATAATGGTGTTATGTACTAATGATGTGGACACCTTTCACTTGACCAAACAGCTGACTAAGCAGCATTCACTGACACCTACTTGATAGCCCCAATTATTCTGAATCTAACACTTGTGTAAAACTTAGAGAGGTCTTCGTGTGAGTGTCATGTGAATCGTCAAAAGATGAAAGCGAATACAAGAATGAATCGATTAATTGTCTCCGTGGTACGAGTCCATCGTAGCACTATAATATCTAGTTCTACCCTATTGATGCCCCTGATCATCATTACTAGTCTGACATGCCTGCACGCAGATCGTACTTTCGCTTTTGGACTGGATCCAGACTTATGCAAGCACAAGTCTGCTTACAACTTGTAGTCTTTTTGACAGTAATATAATGATACTTTTTATGAAAGTCAGCAAATTATCAGCATCCACAACGAAGTAGGTGACATCAAGTTCTTCTAGTATCCTGGTATTCCACTTTGTTAAGGGACTGATTACGATAGCTATTCACAAAAGTGTGTCGTAAATTGAGTTATATTCTGTGTTAAGAACTACGAAGACAACATGCTTATATACTCAATATCGCTCCTTGCTTGGATTTGATGGTGTAGTGGTACACCATCCGGGTCGTTCTCCCAAGTAGTTACTGGGTAGCTTGAACACCTATCCCATTCGAGACAGGAGAAAGCTGGTTCGAAACCAGCAAAACCCACACACCACTCTCTCTCGCAGTGATATTGTGCTTGTGGGATGATGAAAGCTCACTTAAATAGCCACAGGGTTTTCACGCTTTTCCCTGTGGTGGGTAGGCACGGAAGTGGTTGTACGCCGTAAAGGTTAACCTTGAGTGGTATCTGCAAGTGAAATTCAAGTCTGAGTATTCTAACCGTCAAATTTAGTCATCCTACTTAAAGTACATATCTTCCGATAAAAACCTGCATGGGCCTCAAGGCGCCAATTCAGGATAATGAATTATTTATTTATCGTGCCTTGCGTATGAAATTTTGTTGAAATTCTAGACTCAGCATGTATGAAGGTTTAGATTTCTAGGTAGGATCATCAAGATCAATTGAGTTGATTCGATTGAATATGATTAAGCTCAGTTGGACGAAATAAGATTCAGTGGCATCTGGAATGTAGTGGCTAGGAAATGCTACCTTGCGATAATTGAGTGGCTGGTTGTTGCTAGATCACTAGGAGTTCGGGATCACTAAAGCCTTGAGGATCTGTATTTAAGGATAGACTTATCTCTATATCTAAAACTAAGTTAACGAAGTATTATATAATATTAATTCATATTGAGAAGAGAGTTCGATATCACATACAACTATCAATAAATTCTTGTCCGAAATTGAACACTTGTTCTTCGAGATATTTCCTCCTAGAAATCCTTGACAATTTCTAACAAATTTTGCATAAATTATCCTTTACACAACTCCTTTATCCAGCTAAGCCGTGTACTCGGAGACTTCTCAATAAATGAGCCGGATAAACTCTGGGTATAGGGGGACTATTCTCAACACCTGTCAGCGGTGTCCCCTACGAACCTCTAGCTCTCACTGTAGAGTCTGCAGGGCCGAGATTGAGTAACAAAGTCCTCACTTCGACGAGGATTCCAAATCGCTTCCGCGGTCTCTATCGTCTTCATCTCTCAACACATCCTCCGATCACCATTATCATGAAGCTAACCACGATCACATCAGATGGTAGGGTCGGAGCCCTTCTTATCACCAACCCCTGTTCATGGAGGAGAAACCATCCGATGAGTTTCCGCGACGTACCCAGCACCCGGTATAGAGATGGTGGATTGGATCACGATGGCCTCGAATGTTTCAATGGAGGTAGAAATAGATGAATATGCGCACCTTATATGGTTCCAGTGTCTAGGCCTCGCCTGGCTGGGGCTGCAGGTTTTTTGAGACTTTGTCCCGCCCACGCAGTTTCCATTGCTACCATTTTTATTTTTTTTGGGTAGAAGGTTCCGTGGAAAAGGTAGCTGAATTCCACGGGTAAATACTGAGCTGAATGGCTATTCATCAAGGGGAATATATCAATGATCTTTCAAGTAACAAAAGAGGATAGGAGCACTGTACAAGGTGTGGCCTGGGTCAGAGAGGAGCCCAATGTGCTAGATAGTCATAGACTCAGGTAGTACAATAAACACAAACACACACAAACTCTAGTTACAACTGAGGCATTGGCCTGTAACATATGTCGCAAGCTTCGTTGTTTCAGACAAGTGGCATGCTCTACTTCTGCACTTGAAGAAGAAACTATTGTTAATTAGATTGCCAAACCTTGAGGCCACATGCTAACATGCCTAGATAGCCATCAATTGCTCGTCGAGTGGTGATTTTCACAACGAAACTTGAATCGAAAATAAGGAGCTTTGCGATTATTGTTAGCTTACATAAGGTCCGCGCTAGACGTTGCATTTATTACGTCAGTGGGTAGATATTTTGAGTTATCCAAAGATTTTGCAGGAAATTTTTACGCGCTTTCTGAGTAGAGAATAATACGATACAGCATGTTGAGAAATAGCAAAGTAGTTGTTGACTACCTATCTATTTAGGCATAGCTAGAGCTTCGAATGGTACTGACAAGTGCTGACTCTATTAATAATATACAAGGCATGAGCTTAGAGCCATCGTAGTGACCAGGTACTTAAAGGTTGTTAGGCGAGGAGTGATCCACAGGGTCTAAGAATTAAAAAAGCCCTGGTTAGTGAAGCTAAAACAAAGTTGGCAAGGTCATGAGTTCTGGTAGGATGCGCATTAGTCCTAGCGGGTTCACTTGTCTTCGTTACTACAACGCTGCCCTGCTTGCATCCGGTCTTACGAGTCTAATCACGATAGACTTGTGGAACGCAAAATCAGAGTCTCTATACTTCGAAGCATGCTATCCCCTAGATAAGTGAACTGTTGGCACAGTTTATCAATCGTTGTCTATTTTTTCGGGAATTGTACGTTTGATTCCTTAGTGACTTAATCGGGGTAAATTCTCGGCTCCTTGTCGCCAAAGACTTTCCAGGTAATAGCCGAGAATTTCCTGATGTGACTGCTTTTCCTATTTGGGTTCCTCCTTTAGGTTTTCTCTTGGCCCTTGTGTAGTGGTGAATGCGTTCTTATCTACAGTCCCTCTGGGATATAAAATGTTAGGCTTGAAACTGGTATATTTAAGGGATCAGCCCTGTAGGCGCAGTGAGCTAGCTCGTAATAGGTTAGTATGTCTCTCGTCAATACCCCGCTCGCCATGAAGTATGGTCCAATCGTCTTCTAACATTTGGTTAGAATAACACATTTTCAACAACGCATTTGACTGCCTAACCTAAACAGTCCTTGAAACTTAACACCACTATCAATCCATCCTCTATTCTAGCAGACAATGTCCCTCGAAAAGTCTGCTTCAGAAACTAAAGTTCGTAAGCATCTAACTCGCGATCAATGTATTGAATTAAGAACATTAAGAAGACTTAGCTTGACATTACAACATATATCCGACGAAATTGGCTTCACAAGAAGGCAAGTGCAACTTGCGAGTGCTCAAGAAACTGAGACTCCTATGCCTCGCAAAGGACCCTTACCAAAATTAAGTGCAGAACAAGTTGATGAGCTTGAGGCTTTTGTCCGGGAATCTCCTGAAAATCGACAGATGTGCTATATGGAACTAGCAATGGGACCTTTCAGCCACTGGGGATGCAGTGAATGTTTAATTTCTAATGCACTCAAAAAAAGAGGTAACTGCAGACGCATTGCTCGGAAAATGCCTTCGTTAAGTGAGGTTAACATGGACGAAAGATGTGTAGCAGTGATAAAGGAAAACGAAGGGTACACAAAGTATTAGTATGGAGCAGATTAATACAAAACATGTAGTACGCTTTCAATTTAGTTGCGAGCCATACTGAGGGCTTCCATGTAGACTTTTGTAATACAGAGCAATTATTTTTGAAATAGATGTGTATTTTTAGATAATATCAATTAATTTTTTTAATTTTGAATCTCAAATGAGGACCATTGTACATTTCCTTTGGTGTTGAAAATCGTCCCCATTAATTTTGACTTTCACGGAATATCGTTGGATAGTACCCCTGCTTTCATAACTAGTCGAGTAACTAGACATGGGCCTGCATGAAGACCATACCAATTAAGGCAATATGTACAGGGATCTAACTCCAGTCATTTTGACAATTGTACTATTACACCCCATAAGAGACTGTATGTCATCCGATGAAATTAGAATGCTGGCGCTTGTGCTGAGTAAATATAAGCACTAAATAGGCTCAGCTGTAGTTTGTAAGGCCACATTTACCAGAGATCATTCACATTTAGCCGTCACTCTCAAGGTCTAATTTGAGACTTTTGCCCGCGCACGCAATTTCCATTGCTACCATTTTGTATTTTAAATTTTCTTTTAATTAGTTAGAAGGTTGCGTGTTAGGGGTGGCTGAATTCCACGGGTAAATAATGAATTGAATGGTTTTTCATCAGTCAACATTTCAATTATCTTTCAGATAATTCAAGAGCATAAAAGCACTGTACAAGGCGTGGCCTGGATCAGAGGGGAGCCCAATTTGCTAGTTAGTCATAGACTCAAGTAGTACAATAAACACATAAATACTACCTTAAAAATCGGGGAAAACTCGTCAAACCAACACCTGCCTAGCATACGAGTCCTGCCTATCTAGGGATTATGTCACAACTACTTTGATTAAAATGCTTTAATTATCCCTTGAAGTCTTTTCTGAAACTAGTCCAGCCCAATCATCCATCTTCGTCACCAATGCGTCACTTCTTGATGCAGACCTAAATGTGGAATGTCATCATACAAACGGAGCGTGAAAGATAATTGAACACAGGGAAAGCAATACAAGTGGATCATACATTTACAGCAGAATTTAGATCCCACACGATGTCGAAAATTTTATTAAAAGTTAGGCATGGACCAGTTGGCGACAACGTTGAGATGTAAAATGTCATAGAGATTAAGGCCTAGCGAGGTATTCAAGGATTCGAGCGCATGATGGCATTAGCTGAGGAATCAGAGCTTCGGCGCGTTTTTGACGATTCCTTGGGATCACTAGAATTTGTATCAAATACCTTATCAGCGAAGTAGGGTATAGTCAGCTCACCCAGGTGGACTAAGTTGGAGAGTGCTGTATAAGGTATTCGATGTGATATAGCCTGACCCAGACTATGCTTTAGCTTCACCAAAATTTTGAATGGTGCTAACTGCTCATCACCCATAAGTTACAACTAAAAAAATGAGTATTATTTGTCTGTGGGTTTGGGGCATCTTTGTGTAAACATCGCGTTCAAGTCTATACATTCCTCGTTGCCCTTGACAATCAATGTTATACCAATAGGGCTTATTTCAATTACACACCTAGAGAGTCGCTAATGCATCAGTCTCTTATGTTGCCAGTTGGCTCTGCGAAAGCTCGTGATTGGTAGATTGTTCCAGTAAAATCGAGGTCTGTGAAGTTTTTGAATATTCAAATGAGGCCATGCGGTCGTCATGGGATCAGTCCGAGGCGAATGACTCTAAATTAACCTACCTATCACGTCCAACCTATAAAACCACGTGGTCTTGAGCTAATGGTGGCCAAGCACAGCCAGGAATACCAGAAGATATAGCTGAATAAGGTGGCAATTCGACCAGGAAAATTGTTGCCGTCAGCAGAGTTAAATATATGATTTCACATTCATCATACTCGCCGTTTCATTCTAACACTGAATTAGTCAATAATTTCATGGTTATCCATTACATCCTATGAATAGTTCGGAATAAAGTTGAGACGCAATTTATCGATGAGCCTAATTTTGAACCCTAGTTAAGAAAAGTATCAGCCAAGGTGATCATCGGGATGGATAGAATCAAGGGTAGCGGTCAGAGCCGAAAGATGCTCCTAGCAAACCCTATTTTTAATCAGCCGTGAACGATTGACGCTGGTTACTGCGACGGAACGTTTCTCATAATTTTGCTGCAGTGCTGCATGCAAGCTGCACTAACATTCATGCTATAGCATATCCAGGGTTATTAATAAAGGTTGCTTCTATTCGGATGTCTCAGTTTAAAAAAAAGGTTATCCTGATATGCATTATATGTGGAAGCGCGGGTGAGAAGCTTTAGCTACAGCTACTGCAAGATTCGCTCACCTTTGATGCCAATACAAGGACTAGGAAGTGATGGCGATTTAGCCACGGATGTTTTTTGGCAGTTTTGAATTGATCATGAGTGCGGCGCGAGAGTCTGGTGACGATGGACATGGCGGAGATGATGGCGATGGAATAAGGGAGTATCTTGGATGAGGACTGGAGGGGAATAGTTCGACCGTAACTAGGCTATATGTTCCAACCGTTGAGGGTGGCGGTTTGGTCCCATGATGCGTTATGACGGGGAGCATGGGGCAGCCCAAGCTAACTGGAACAGAAGAAGGCGCTATTTCTATAGTATGCAAACAGCTGCCAAGGATCTTCTGCAAGATATGCCCCTGTCGGCTGCCATGCGGCTTGTCGCCCATCTTTCAAGTCGGGCCCGCCGGTTCTTTCTTCGGGGCAAGGGTAGAGGAAGGGTTCAAAATTAAAGCACACAGACGAAAAGACGAAGTCATTCCAATTTTTTTAGAATAGCTGCCGCGAGCTAGGAGTTATCGCAATGAGCGCTCAATGGGAATGCGCATGATACAGCCACACATCGCCTTCTGCAAGTCATCATCAAGTTATGTCCAATAACCTGAAGCCTACGGGCAGAGCTTCTAGTTGACTAAGTCAGACGATAGGGACTATCACCTGCTTGCGCTCCATAAACTCTTCTCAACTTGGCTCAGAGCGAGAGGTGGGGCCGTAGTGAGAAGTAGTAATTCCTTGGATCTGGACCCGTTTGTCCCTGCTTCGTCTTTGATCCGGCCCTCGCACTCCTCGCACTCCCCCTGCTCCTAGCCCTACCCCACCTCGTCCTCATCCTCTTCATCTTCTTTCTCCAACAAGCTTCGCAAAATATTATTTCTACCCCAAATCCCCTCTCCCCCCCGAATAACAGATAGACTTATTTTCATCGAGTTTTTGACACCACATCTTCATGGATTACTGACAGCTCGCAATAAAGACGGAGTCTGCTGCATTCAACAAGGTAATAAGACCTGCACAGCTCTTGTAACACCTTCCTATCTCTACTTTCCATTATTCAGGTTATTATTACTGCCTCTGTTGGGCATGAAGAAATAGTGGTGAAGCTACTCTAGCCACAGCAACACACAGTACTCAAAATTCCAAGATTCCCCCCTCGCAAAATCATGTCCGACTCCCTCAGAGTCACCGAGAAAGACAACAGCGAGTCAGATAATTCTGCAGCTCTGAGCATAACATATTCACAGAAATACGAAAATGAGGCACCACCTGCTAAAAAGCAAAGTATCTCACACAGCAACGCCCCCGATGACACCAAACTCGAAATTACAGAGGACATGTGCTACGAAGAGCTTGGATACTCCTTTCCCACATGGAAGAAATGGACTGTCTTATCCGTTATTTTCCTTGTACAAGTCTCTATGAACTTCAATACTAGCTTGTACTCCAACGCTATCCCCGGTATCATGGAAGAGTTCAAAATTAGTGCCCAAACCGCCAGGTGTGGTGCCATGATATTTCTAGTATTGTATGCTTTTGGCTGTGAGCTATGGGCGCCTTGGAGCGAAGAGTTAGGACGAAAGCCTATCCTCCAGGCCAGTCTCTTCCTAGTTAATGTCTGGCAACTGCCGGTAGCCTTGGCCCCCAATTTTACATCGATCATGGTCGGTCGAGCTCTTGGGGGATTATCTTCTGCTGGAGGCTCCGTTACCCTCGGTATGATCGCTGATATGTGGGAAACTGAAAAGCAACAATACGCTGTCGCCTTTGTGGTCTTTTCATCTGTTGGCGGCTCTATTCTTGGTCCTATTGTCGGTGGCTTTAGCGAGCAATATCTACACTGGAGATGGTCAATCTGGATCCAACTCATATTTGGAGTAGTAGTTCAAATTCTACATCTTGTACTAGTCCCAGAGACTCGGACTACAGTTATGATGGACAGGATTGCGAAGAAAAGACGTAAAAACGGGGAAAATATATGGGGCCCAAATGAGTTGATCCCATACAGGGATCGCTTCTCGGCTTGGGAAATTTTGATTACATGGGGTCGCCCATTCAAAATGTTTCTGACTGAACCGGTGAGTACCTGTCGGATCCTCAACTTTTATAAATCCACTAATTTTTGCGTAAGATTGTGCTAGTACTCTCTCTTCTCAGCGGGTTCAGCGATGCCCTTATCTTCATGTTTATTCAATCTTTTGCTCTTGTATATGGCCAATGGGGGTTTAGTAGCGTTCAACTAGGACTAGCCTTCATTCCCATAGGCATCGGCTATCTAATTGCCTGGATTTCATTCATTCCTATGATTCGGCGTAATATTAAACAGCGTAAGGAAAATCCAACTAATGAGAGGATACAGTTTGAGTCACGCCTTTGGTGGCTTCTATACACTGCGCCCTGTCTTCCGATTGGTCTAATTGGTTTTGCGTGGACAAGCACGGGTCCACCCATACACTGGATCGGCTCTATGGTCTTCAGCGCTACCGTTGGTATTGCCAACTATGCAATCTACATGGCAACTATTGATTACATGATTACTGCCTACGGTCCATACTCGGCCTCTGCCACAGGCGGAAACGGCTGGGCACGTGACTTTCTTGCAGGTGTCCTGACCATTCCTGCAACACCCTTTTTTGAGAAGATTGGCTCCAACCCACTCGCCTACGCCTCGACAATTCTAGCTTGCATATCATTTCTCCTCGTTCTTGCTGTCTATATAATATATTGGAAGGGACCTCAGCTTCGCCACCGCTCGCCATTTGCTCAACAGCTTTCCGACGCTCGATTTGAACATGATCCTCTGCACGCTTCCGTTTCTGAGCGACAGGCCACCCATCAAGCCAAGGCTATATTACGCTCACAGCAAGACCTACGCATCCGACAGGCACTAGGAAGTCGAGCTCCCAGCTTTGTCGCCAGCGGACACGCTAAAACCCCGATGGCTAGTCGCGCTGCAAGTCGTGCTGCTAGCCCAACTGGCATGAAACGGGTAGCTGGACGAAGCCGTAAGAACAGTTTGTCCGGAGAAGGAGTCATCTCGGGGATCCGCGGGCCTGGTCTTGAGCCTAATCATGGAGTTTCAAAAAATCGGTAAGGATGGGGTATATTAATTACCATGTGTATATCACTGGACAATTATTTTATTATTTTGATTCCTGGATTTTGGGGGTCCTGGCGCGAAGGCGAATATTTAGGAGGCGGTGGGGCCATGCTGCAGATGGCAGACAGCGGTGATTCTAAATCCATAGCTTACAAGATAGGAGCTATTAATTGGAGAAACCAGTACTAGCAATATGGTGAGACATTAAATGGATACGCTGAAAGATAGTTCTCGTGCATGACGCGGATAGTTAAGGGCCGCTAGTGAAGTGGAGAGCGCATCCTTGCCGTATAAACCAAGAATAATTCCTAATCGCCGGCGGAGCACTCGATCCCTGTAGCAGCTTTTGCCACCGCAGACCTAAAATCTCTAAACCGTCAAGTCTCTTTTACTGACCGCCCCCCATAGTGAGATGCTCGATGACTCGTCGATCATCTCTTCATCGCAGACACGTGAATATACATGAAATTGCAATAGGTAAGAGGCATATGCAGAATTACAGGCAGTGGCTGGTTCGATTGGAAGTTCCAACTCCTAACAGCATCGCAACTATTCTTTCCCATCGATATGGCGCGGGTATAACAGCAGCGAACATCGATAAAATCTTGTCATAGCTAGATAGCTGAGTACAATATGATTCAAAAAAAAGAACATCGATAAAGCTGACTCGTTAAGCAGGTAACACTTCCTAGAGCGCAATGAAGATTGGTTAGTTGGGAGAGAGAGGGGGTGATTGATAGACAATGACCCGGTGGAAACTGTATACGGTTCATAGGTGGATATGAAAGTGGCTTGGGCTTAGGGGGAAAATGGGGTTAGTAGAGGCTTCTACGATTAGAGCACGCCCACTTTTGGAACGTATATCTTAGTAGCGAGTGCTGTCGAAGGCATGCATGACGCACAGCTACCTGCGACATTGACATGGAGATGGCGCTGGCTTGAGTGTGAAGGAGAAGGGAGAGAGCGAAGGCGGGCTGTGATGAGCAGGCCTCGGCACGGCTTCGCAACTGACAAGGATAAGGGGCGGCTATGGTGCAGAGGCCATGGATACCTAGACTATGCGCGATAGCTGTCCAGACTGGCTAGACCTCGTTGGGCGGCTGCGCGCCGGCCGCGACAGGGGTAGGGGGAAGACCAGTAGACTAGACAGGTCTTTGGAAAGCCAACGCTGCGAGCACATGGGCCCGCCTGCATGAGCTGTGCAGATGGAATCTAATGCTGGAGCGCTTTAGTAAGGGGCCAGGCTCGCGCCTGTTGCGGCTTTCTAGGATCTCGGAAGGCTGTGGTGTAGATTCGATTTCAGACTCTATCGGTTACAGAAGATTCCGGTCGCGACAAGCACCAGTGCCAGCATCAGAGCTACCTCAATCGCCACTTTCAGTCGACCACAGCACGGCTTCGAGTTGAGGAGGAGAACTGATATTATTTTACAACCGGACCATGAAGCAGAGGCGATCGGTCTTACCGGCATTAGGCGGGTTCGGCGACCTGGGCGTGTTGTCTGAGCCTCCGAGGGAGCATTATAAGTGCATACCACACTGGAATGACGTCATAGACGTCATAGATGGCAGATGACTCGAGATAGAGCTGCGCCCACTTCTACAGCGGATCAATTTTACAACAGTGAAGATTGGGGGCAGACCAGGACGCAGTCAAAAAGCGGAAAATTCTTGGATGCTTCGACGCCGAGTAACCTCCGTAATTTCCCAGTCGACGCGTCGGAGTAGCTGCAGATTCATGTGCACGGCCATGATGATGGAGAATCTGAGGAAATTAGCCGATAAGCGCGAGACGCTACGAGGCGTCTCCACCCACGATAGTGTCAGAAACAATGGGACAGGCAGTGGAGTCTCTTGAGCTAGTCTATATCTGATGGCTAGCTACACGCGGACAGTCGTCGCCATGTTGCCGATATAGAGATGCTTATAATACAGTCGGAAGCCATCATGGCGTTTCGCCTCTTACTCTGGCTTGGCTCAAGCTCTGCTATCGTCAGTTATCCTCCATCATGTCGAACCCTCGTTAACGCCACAGTAGCTGCATCTGCAATCCCCAACACAGGCAGCGACGAGGTCCTGTTCTTCTTCTTGTGGGTCTTGTGATTAGCAAGGTCCACGCCACACTGACATGGATCACTAGTGTTTGTGCACAGATGATGATCGTTGAAGCCACTGCTAGGGCATACTCCATTCGTGCTTCAGCTCAAGAGCAAGCTGTTTGACTCATGACCAGAACGCCTCGTCCGATATGTAACGTGATATACCTGTCACTAAACGTGGGTCATCCCGACGCCTCTATCTGATTACTCAGCGAGTGCGTCTCCGGAATCACCGTTTTCTCGAACACGACCCGCTCAGCAACCGTGCGTTAACCAGCCATGCTCCCATCTTACGGGCCGCCCGGATGCTTTGCTCGCAGCGCTTGCTCAAACTAAAAATCTCAGGCCTTGGCCCTTTTCACCGGCAGCTTGATTGTCTCTCATGACATACGCATCTGTAGGCAAGATGTGCCTCATCTCCGCATGTGGCGAATTTCCATTACATCGGACAGGCCAGGTATATTTGACATCATCAGGTATGTCTATTTGTCAAACTGTGATTTCTAGCTTCTAATGCGCCTAGTCACCTTCTCAGCCCCCAGGCATCTGGCCTATCGAAGTTGCAAATGCTGTCTGGGGAGTCATGCCCTTCCTTGAACGCGAGGCTTGGGCCGAAGTCACTGAGATCGGCAACGAACTGTGCATCATTATCCGCCACATTCCTCCGCCGTGCCTAAACATTTAATCTAGGTCGCATATCCACGCACATACTTCCCGTCCCAACAACGCAGTTGAAGCATGCGTGTAAGACATGCTTACATCAGAAGATGATCTCGCCCCTGCACGGAGAAATTACCCGGCAGGTCACTGTGTGTTAGCTGTCAACCAAATTTGTGCTCCTGAACAGAGGGCTAAAGGCTTGAATAATTCAAAATATGGCATGGAAAAAATCTGGGCATGGTCTAGCAATCACACGAAGGCGTCGTAAACGACATGCCCAAATGACCCGTCTTGACACTATTTTTGGAACATCTTGCTAGTCGGGCCACAAGTTGCAAGAATCTATCGACGAGTATTCTCTTCACTGAGCTCAGACCAGACCATCTGAATCCTAATAGCTGCTAACTACATTCTAGCGACCATGAGAATATGATCTTTAATCGCGACAGAAGAGTCGATTCATAGGAGTGCAGAATTCTGAAATCTAGACATGCCAGACCGAACTGTACCCAATGCGGAGTAGACAAAGACTCCAATCTTCGATCGCTACCAGCTTTTGTGAGGTCTCGGTTGGTAATGATCTCGGTGGTGGAAATGTTATTCCATCACGAAATTAGAACACAATGTTTCTACCTAAGCGAGGTAGGACGTAGATAATCAGATGAAGATGAACACCTAACACTGAAAAATAAGTTCAATTAACCAGTATTTCTCTGATCTTCAAATCCCCAATATATTACAATCCATACAGTATTGACATGACTGTCAACGTTCACTTTTATAATTCCAGATACCTCCAGAACTTTAATACATATTACCGTTGAGAAAGCGCCTAAACCGCTGCCAAGGTCAAATTATTCATCTTCTAGTGGTGTAAGTGTAATCGCTCAATATAATCTGCATATCTGGGAAAGTCATGAAGAATCGCATCCAAATTTACGTCGAAGGTAAACACTAGCATGTCTAGAATTAACGGCTTCTCATCAATGTCGCTTCTATCATTCTTTTGGAAGTCCTTCATCTTAATCATATCATAGGTCAGCACGCCTCAATGACCGATCAAGGAGCTGCTCCAATTGCAACGGAAGCCTATCTCAGGAATCGCCAACCATCTCCTACTATCACGTTACGACGCTACGCATACCCTCGAGGAGGAATTCAAGTTGTGAGAAATACAGCTCGATGATTGGCCTAAGAGGGACTATTTCTCCAATGGAGATCTACAACTTGAAGGAGTACAGACAGATGGTGCTTGTAACGAGAGAGCGAATAGGCCTTGTATGGGAAAGATTGAGCTGACCTTTTTCAAAGAGTTTTCAACTCTGGAATATTTGTTGGCACCGAGGCTACGATTTCTGATAATGCTACTGGCACTCAAGATATAGGCAACGATGGAAGATGTTGTAGTCTACCTCCTATTCGTCATCTCTCCAAATTAAAATCTGGGTAGCCTGGACGCCTATCTTATTCGAGGAAGGGAGGCCTGTTGCGTCAAATCTCGCGCGGTGGCTACATATATCATGACAAAGGTAGGTTAGGGTAGCTAGAGGCCTTTTCTGTTTTCCATTTGATAAATAATAACGGTTGAGTGAAGGGTAAAGGCCCCTAGCACAAAGGTCTCGAGTGGTACCAGCTAATGCATCCACTACGTGGGTGGTCCAAAATCCAAACTAAGTTATCATCGTATATAGTCATTGGGGAAGGACTAGCCTTCTCAGTGTCATGCTCTATGAGTGCTAGGCCTGTACCCGTCACGGATAAAAATCAATCTATCTAGATACCTCAGATTCTGTACAAGAAGCGTCTTATACCCCCTATATCCTCATAGTTCTGAGTATCAAAACATCAGCAGTTCACATTGATTAATCATTAATCATCACGTAAACCTTTAGCCAATAACGTCCCCGTAAGCCCTTGCCTCTACAACAGTCATCCACTTGCTGCAATAGATGGGTTATTGTGACACATATTCCTCTAGAGGTTTCCTCGCAGGCAAATGTGGCCATTCACCCGCATTCTGTTGTATCTTAGGACTAGCAATGATTTGCTGGAGGCCTAAGTGGAGCTTGAGGCCCAGATGATAAAATATTCCTCGCAAGCTTACATCAAGTAATCAGGTGTCACCGGGCCGCGCTAACTCGACATCAGTAGGGAATGCGGGACTGCAGACAACAGTGGCTAAGGGAAATGGCAAATCCAAGCTAGCTTTCTAAGGAGCATGACAAAGGGCAAAGTG